CGAGCCTGCCAAAGCACCTACCCACCACCTCCCCACCGAGCCGGCCAAAGCACCTACCCACCACCTCCCCACCGAGCTGGCCGAAGCACCTCCCCACCACCTCCCCACCGAGCCGACCGAAGCACCTACCCACCACCTCCCCACCGAGCCGGCCGAAGSAACTCCCCACCGAGCCGGCCGAAGCACCTCCCCACCGAGCCGGTGTCGCACTTTTTCCAGTCGAAGCGCTTCGGGTGACAGAAAGCCAACAGGTTGTCATGCAGGATTTTGTATGTGATTGCAATAAATAAAATAAATTAAATAATGCAAATCCCTTCCTGTTGTGTGCGTCCGGCTTCGAGCGAGACCCTTCAATTACGGTCTTCGCCGGTCCCCGGTCTTATGAATCTTTTATTTTGATTCGGAACAGTATAGAGTCATGCAAATAACAATCATAAGATTATGGGGTGCTATGCATGCATCAATTATGTCAATCTGACTTTGAGAACTGTGACAGAGTAATCCACATGAGCAATCATTAAACGAGGACAATGCAAGAAGCAAGACGGCCTGACTCGAACAATGACAGGTGCAATTGAATGAGGGAAGAATGAGAACTCATAATAATCTCAGAAAGTACATATAAGCGAGCATGGTCAGCACCTCTCAAGAGTCCTCACCCATCCCTCAGGTCAGTCTTTCTCAATCTCCCGTTTCGCTGTTCATCTCTGGTGCTGTGACCCACACCCACGTACAGTCTGAGATTGAGGCCTCGTGACAAAGAGCCACCTGAAGCCAACAAGTTCTGAACATGACCATCCAAGGTACATGACACGAAAGTTGACCATAGAGTAGAACTCCTCCACAGTGTAGGCAGCCCGTCCACGGAGAAGACTCCTCGTCTGAGATAGGGATACTCGGTCGGCTCAGTCAGCGCCTCAATGTCGATCAGTGTTGGAGAGATATACCTCTTAACCAAGCCAATCATATCTAGCCAACTCGTGCCATCTGTGAGGAGGGAAGGAACATGAGGCCTGGGATAGTCAGTAAAAAGCTTTGGCCCAAAGCTGCGGATCAACGTAGTGCCACCCTCATCAAACTCCTTCTCTTTCTGCTCGAGGTATTTAGCAGTTGAGATCCAGACCGGATCAAAATGCTCATGAGCCTCCTTGCCCTTCTTCAGATAGGGCCTCAGATCGTGAATAGTGTCATCCGCAAAACTGGTCTGGACAACGAAGATCGACAGATTTCCTTGTCTGAAACCAATGACACTAACATATGCCTCCTTGCATGAAATCCGATTGAGACTGACCAGCACTGACTCACTGACCAGCGTAGACTGAACTGTGCTTATGAGTAGACTAGCCGGCACAGACTGACTAGATGATCACTGAGGAGTGATTGTCGAATCAATTACCGAAAACTGATTGCTGAAAACTGATTGATGATTGATTGCTGATTGATTGCTGATTGATTGCTGACTGGTTGCTGATTGGTTGTTGAACGATTGTTAACTGGTTGCTAGCTGATTTCTGAGCTGGTTGCTGGTTGATAGCTAACTGAGAAAGTTGAACACCACTGAGATCGTTATCAGAGCACTGACCGAGTGTCAATCAAATACCTGTCAACTGCTGGTTAACTCCTGATTGCAAACTGAATATATCACTGATTAATTGCTGACGGAAAAGGACGGACTAAGTACTGATGAGATGCCTGCAGATCGAGCGTTAGTTGAACACTGTCCGGATGTTGATTATGGATTGATTAAACGCTAGTCAAATGCTGATGATCTGATTTGGATGATAGCTGGGAACTGACTTGGATAGTCACCGAAGACAAATTTATGAGAACAGATTGTTGAGCACTGATAGTTGCTGAAAATAGATTTCTGAGAACTGATTAATTGCAGATCTGAGAATGGATTGATTGCTGCTTGCCAACTCGGAAACTGACTGCCCTTTTCACTTGCTCACCAGAAATTACATTGAATAGGACACGAGGTACTGAGCAATATTCGGCGAAAAAAAAGATTACCAATAGGGAAAGTTGGGGCATATCCTGCAGTTACCCGAGCTTTGCCCTGGCCTGCTCCACTGTCTCCAATGAAGAACCAATGCTGTGCAGCTTACCATCTCCTCCATAGAAGTAAAGCACATATTCTATGTATTTTTCTCCTTTTACCATCTGGGTCGCCCACTCTCGCAGATGCCGCCTATTTAACTCCATATCACGGCACGCCTCATCCTCCCATTCCTCTTTCTTGTCCCTGACTAAGCTACTTTTCACTACTAAGATTTCGTTTTTTCCTATTTTTTTTTCCTGACAGTTTACTGGACCCTAAATGACAAACGAGCCGGACCGAAGACAGCTCTGCTGGACCCTGTACCAAAAAAAAAAGAAGGCGTGGGTTAAACTCAGTATCAGAACTCTATTGTCATTCGGCTTGAATTAACTAACTTGATTTGAGGACGTCATACTGTTATTTTCTCATCACTGGTTACCAGGCGGCAAGCAAACTCTGAGCTCAGTTGAGTAAATGCGCACTAGGGTCGAGGCGACCTCAACAATAATCCTTTTCTCGAAAGGTATAATCACACTCGAAGCAGGAGTGCATGTGTCCCCTTTGCTTTGCTTGGTCAGGAACACTGTGTGTTCAAGGTATGATGAACCGTGGTTTCGAAACTCCGTTCGAACCCGTATCTTAGTTCTTTCAGTGCACAATAGTACAGTCTGCAGCTCCTTGTTTTAGACAGTTCACATACAGACCCATCACCCCGAGCGCACCAACCCGGACAACATAATCCGTCCACTCGCCCCTCTTATAGTCTAAACTTGAGCTCACAGAGACAAAACTGGAAGTAGAGAGCCATTAACTTTTCTCAAGAGTTTCCGTCGAGCTATTTTCACTTAATCCTCAAACGTTGACTTTCAGTCACTCACATAACAAGCCCCAAAGTACTCTGGACAGATGACTGTGAAAAAAAAAAGATCAACGGCAATGGCCAGGAATGAAGCTTGCTGTTTTCAAAACTCCCATGGAGACAGCAAAAGAGGAATAGGGTTTTATGCACCCCCGATCAAAGTAACAACTGAGCAGGAGATTCCCTTGTTAAATATGGGCTATGATTGCTGTTCACGTACAGGGTCTAAGGATTCCGAAACTCAGGTAAAGGCCCGTCTGCTCAGAACTTTAGCCTGACCCTACTCGCGCGCAAATGTGCCCCGACTTCCGGGAGAAGTTCATGGATATACCTTGTACTTCCATCGCGCGAGCGACCTCCAATTCCTCTCTCGGGTCATTGTGAGCGTTAAAATTACCCTATCCGGGAAGCGCTACGACGTCATCCGGATTAAGGACACCACGACCACGCACCTTTTTCGGATGCGTCAACCGTTCCGCGCCATAGTCTGGAAGCTCGCCTCACGGATGACTTCTCTCTATGATACGCGGAAGGTCCGAGTTGTGCGAGGTGGACGTGTCTCCACCTTGACGTTTGACGATGAGGAGCTAACACGGCTCGGCCGGATAGAGGCTGAGGCCCATGAGGGCCGACAGGTTTATCCCGGCTAAGCGCACCCTCTCAAATCTGGTGTCATGGTGAGTTGTCCTTATAGTAGGGTCACGCCTATATGACTCTACAGGGGTAATAATAACAAAAAACAACAACAACGACCTTGTGTAGGTAGGCCAACCAGAAGGATAGTATCTGGATTGCCCCGATGATAGCACTATCATGCTAATGCATTAAGGGGTAATCAACCACTTAAAAATACGCTGAACAAAGCGAAGGCCGAACACTTGAAGAGGTGTCAAGCGGAACAATGAGGACGGGGTAACAGAAGACGAAACAGTCCCACGCCAAGTAACCTGGTGTTGGCAATGGCTACTTCATCATTCGTGGAACAGAGAGAGTAATTATTGCCTAGGAGGACAAAGCGACAAACAAAATTGTCATCCGCTCCTCCAAGTAGATGCGTGCGGTACGACGGTGCGGTCGGACCGGGAGTTTAAACATCGRCCAAGAAGCAGATCACTTGTTGATCTGCATGTATTTACTTGTAGAGGTTSTGCGCGACGGATCTTCCRTCCTCGGATGACGGTATAATTGTCTCTTCAGTCAGGTAGGCAGGAAATGATAACCTTGGCATATCATCTCATCAAGTCGAAATGTTGGTTGTGTATTGGTTTCGTTCATTTTATGAGTAGGGGATTATAAAGGGACTAGGATTACATGTTGGGGTTCACGTTTGGTTGAAGCTATCCTTGTTGACCGACGCTCGTTCGTACTGAGGAGATCAGCGCCCTCGGAAACGGACAACGTTCGGGTCCACTTGGTGTTAACCAAGCGCACCTATACTTCAGCGAACGAGCAAACGCCCTCGGCTGACCTACCTCTGCAATTGCATGTAAAAGTTTTCGCACATGGGTCAGTAGCTCGGTAGGTATACACCCCTGAGGGTGGTGACAGCCCCTCAGGGAAAGTAAGTTGTGCCCCGCGAAAACCTATCCTGTCGTAGGGGACCGCGGGGGTCATAGCTGACGCACTCGGCTAGAGCGGCGAAGGGACGATGCAACCGCATCCGTCTCGACGGTTCGCGGAATCACTTATGCATCGTCCTAAGTTGTCTCTTGATTTTGTTTTGTTCTAACTCCTGCGTGACATAGCCGGGAGGGCCCTCGTTCACGCGAGGGCCGATGCGCTCGACAGGTGGCGCCGTTGCCGGGGATGACGGCAAACTACCGTTGTCCCTGGTGGAACAACACTCGGGAAAAGATTAGTAGTGGTGACTTTAAGAATTGCGTATTATTTGTTTGGATTGAAAGTAGTCGGTGGTTATTAATGTCTGGGAAAAGAAAGAAGGCAAGGTTTAGAGTGAATTGTTGGAATCTATTTGACACTTGGACATGTGGGTTTGTCGTGTTGATTCTCTCAAGATGACGGGAGGAAATGCTGATCCCGCAAATAGTAATGCGGGGGATCGTCGCAACGATATTCTGGAACTCGCATGAGCCATTCGTGAGGCTGATAATCAGAAGGCACAGTTGCCGAAGGTTCAAGTTCCCCTCTTCGATGGCACCAATGCCTCAGCATGGGCGGACAAGTTTGAACAATTGGGCAGTTGCTGCGAATGGTCTAGTGAGAAGTTGCTTCAAATGGTGAAGCGATATTGTATGGTCGAGTACAAAGAGGAGGTGTCAGAGTTGGTGCAAGCTTCATGCGACTGGCCGGACTTCAAGGTCAAATTATTGGACAAGTACCAATTGGGGGATCAACTGCTCGATCTGGCGGACTTACGGAAGGTTAGTCGTCGGAAGTTTGGTACGGCTAAGCAATTTCTTACGGAGTTTGAGCGGGTTGCGCGCTTAGTGTCTGACCTTCCAGATAAGGATCGGTGCCTCATCTTCCTCGAAAATTTTTCAGAAGTTGAGCAGCGAGAACTGATGAAGGATATGACTGGGCGATACGACTGGCCAAGGATAAAGGAAAATCTGTTGGCCGGAAGTTTCGACCAAATGCTTTACCGTCTCCTGAAGCAGCAAAAGGAGGACCGTGAGAAGGAAGGGGTAAGCGCGGACAAGGATCAAGCCGTTTACAAGACCCTAACCGACATGCGGAACATGATGGCGGACATGAAGGAGGAAAGGCTAAAGCTACAGGTGATGATGGTCCAGACAAAAGGTGGAAAAAGGAAGGGCAAAGCACCCGTTGTGGAGGAAGTGAGTGGTAGCAGCAGTGAAGAGGAAGATGAGGAGGAAGAGGAGCCTTCTCGAAAATTGACCAAAGCAGAAGGGAAGGCTCTGAACCAGATACGAGGAGGGCAGGGCACTAGTAAGAAGCAGCGGAAGAATAATGGAGGAGGTGGACAAGGAAGTAATCAGGAACAGGCGGCTCCAACCCCTCCTCAGCAACCCCAACCTCGGGCAGGAGGCCGAGGTCGAGGCCGAGGTCGAGGTAAAGGACAAGGCACTGGGGGAGGCCGAGGAAATGGGGGCGGCCGAGACAATTGGCAGAATTGGTTTTGTAAGTATTGTGGCCAAGATGGACATGGGATACGGTTTTGTCAGACCGTTACCAAAGATGAAAACGATAAGGTTATATATACGAATATCTGAGGCGAGGTCTACGACTTCGAAGGGAATCTCATCGATCCCAATGTGGAGGGAGGAATGAGAAAGGAAGCTTTTCGACGTATGGGGCGAGATCTTCCAGCAACTTTTCGACTGCCTTCTCCGGAAGAGGTTGAACAGATTGAGTTGGAAGCGACGATGGAGTCATTGACAATTGAGGCTGCCAAGGCCGGAAATGGAGGTTTGAGCAAAGGGCAGGAAAATATACTGCAACGAGCTCAGACAGTGATCGGAAAAATGAAACGATGCAGGAAAACTTTTGTTCAAGTATGTGCGGATATGGATGAAGAGTGGCCCCGGCTTCCCCAAGTTTTTCTGTTAGGAGGATGGGACAGAGACGGCCAAAGAGGTCTTACTGATGTTACCGCATCACAACCTGGATTGTCGTCGGCGGGGCGTTTGATGGCCACCACGATCTTGTCCCGCCCTGCGCTCAAGCGACCTGCCACTGCTGGCCTCCCACAGGCTCGGAGGGCTCGAAGGTCGCCGCGGCCAAGGGCAACGCCAGAAGGAGGGCCAAGCCAGCCTCGGGAAACCGAGACGATTTCGATTGAAGAAGACGATGGCGAGGAGGATGAATTGCTGCGAGCCGAAGATGAGAGGCAGGCCAAACAACGAGCCGTGGAGAGGGAGCCAGAAACGGGCAGGGCTGATGTTGGGGAAGGAGAGCTGAAAAAGAAAAAGCAAGTCTACACAATTCCAGTAGAGCAAGGGATGGGTATTGAGCAAATCGTGGATCGGATTTTGGAAAGCCAGCGTGATTTGTTCACGCTCAAGGAGTTCTTGGCCGCGTCACCCAAAATCTGAGAGGAGTTCAGACATCGACTGTCAAGGAAAAAGGTGATGACGGTTAAGATGAGTGATATCTTTCCTCAAGAGATTAGTTGGGCTCCTCCTGGGACAAAAATGGACTGGCACTGTGTAACAACTGGGTTGTTGAAAGTGCAAGTTGGGCCATGTGAATATTGAGCTCTCATCGATGATGGAGTTGAAATGAACATTATACGAGAAAGAGAATCCATGGGGGCAGGAGTTAATATCAATCGAGCAGATACTGGATTTTTTGTGGGTGCAAGTGGGATAACTCCCTTTTGCGGAACGACGAGTGACGTGACGATACAAGTTGGTAAAGACAAAGTTCGTTCGTACTTCTATGTGCTACCCAGGGTTGAGCATGCCGTGTTGTTGGGCAGAGCTTTCCTATGTCAATCAGAATCCATCATCTTTAACAAGCATGATGATACTATGATTGTGGTTTTGTGTGACCCCGTATGTGGCTATTACGAGGTGTTGAAGTGTGAGAACACAGGACCAACCAATTCAAGGAACCGGCTTAATCCGGGGTCCTATTCCTTCACGGAGTCTGAAAGACTCAGAAGGGAGAAAGAGTCTCTTGGAGAAGAGAGCGATCCCCATGAATTTTCTCTTGCTCTGCCCAACATCTCTCAAGCAATCGAGTTCGTTGCGACAGACTCGTCTGTGGATCCCAAGTTGGTCCAAACATTGACAGAGATTGTGGCAGGAGAAGGCGGGACTGGTAGGATGTATCTTACCTATCGGCCCAACAGGTCTTCTGAGGGTGATGCATTGGCAGAGCCAGAAGCCAAGCAAGGGCCTTTTTTAGAGGTGGACGACTTGGAGTTGGAGCGAAACATAAGTACAAGAGAGAAGGCGAGAAAGCTCGGCCAGTGCCCGTCTTGATCACACAAGAGGAAAAAGTGTACTATAAAGAAGAGAGAGAATGGATCAGGATGAGGAAAGAAAAGAGTGTGAAGGCACCGTGTCGGCTGACGGAGGAGAGGATTAAAGATATGATCATTGGAGAGGAAGGGTCTCTTTCTGAAAAGGAGGTGGACTTCCTTGTYAGCGTCATGAAGAGAACCCATTTRGCTTACGCCTTCGATGATGACGAGCGAGGGAGGCTTGACGTTGACATGATCCCAATGATMARAATTCATACGGTACCTCACGARCCGTGRAACATACRAGGTYCRCGTTATCCAAATCCGGATGATCATCGTAGAGTCGTTGAATATTTGGATGGTAAAATTCGGACAAGGGTCGCGGATTACTCATATGGACCATATGCGTCCCCTTAGTTTTGTTTCATTAAACCAAGTGGTGTATTGCGATGGGTGCAGAACTTGCAGAGGCTGAACTCAGTGACGGTTCGTGATGCCGGAGGACTTCCGCATGCTGATCAGCTGTCAGAGTCGTGCGCAGGCAGGCCTATCATAACTCTCATTGATTTGTATTCAGGATATGATTAATTCCCCCTCTATACAGCTGATAGGCCGATGACGGTCATGCATACGCCGAGGGGATTAATTCATATGTGTACGGCGCCTCAGGGATGGACGAACGCCGTAGCAATTGTTCAGAGATATATGATGAGAGTCATGCAACCACTTTGTCCGGACGTGACCTCACCTTATATAGATGACGTGGCCATACCTGGGCCGCGCGTGAAGGATGAGACGGAGGTGCTGCCAGGCGTTCGAAAGTTTGTTTGGGAGCACGTTCGTAACGTGGAGAAGGTCCTGTCCAAGTTAAAGGAGTACAACCTCACCGCCAGCGGTGTCAAATCTCGACATTGTATGCGTGAGGTAACTATCTTGGGCTTCTTGTGCGATGAGAAGGGTCGTCGGCCAGATTCCAAGAAGACAAACAAGATTCTGGAATGGCCGACTCCGCTTAAGTCCATCACTGATGTGCGCAGTTTTTGGGGGACTTGCGGATTCTGGCGCATCTTCATTCGCAAGTTTGCAGCAAGGGTGAAGCACCTACGAAAGTTGGTGCGTAAAAATCAAGAATGGGAATGGGGTCCAAGACAACAGGCGGCGGTGGACGATATCAAGGCTCAGTTCCGAGAAGGAGGATTGATCCTGGGGGTCCCGTGCTTTGACAATGACCCGAATCGGCCCTTTGTGGTTGAAACGGATGCAGGCCCCACAGCACTGGGTGGTGTCCTCATCCAAAAGGATGGAGAAGGGCGAGAAAGGCTATTGAGATTTGAAAGTCGAATGTTGAATGAGGCGGAACGGAAATATTCCCAATTTAAAAAGGAAACCCTTGCAGTGCTTCATTGTTTCAAGATCTTCCGAAACTATGTGTTTGGGAGACGGTTCGTCCTGCGGGTGGATCCAACTGCCCTGGCGCAGTCACTAAGGAATTACTCTCCCTCGGATCCAACTATTGCTCGATGGTTGATCTATATCTGGATGTTCGATTTCGAGATCAAGCGCATTGCAGGAGCGAAAAATCGAGCAGATGGATTGAGTCGGATCGAGTGGGACTCCTCGAAAGATCAGGCAGAAGACTCGGTTCCTGTGGATGGGTTCTTGGAGGCGGACGAGCAACAATTAAGTATCAATGTTTGGGAGTACATCACTAATTCCTCGTCCCGACCTGGGAAGTCTATCTGGAGTTCGCCGAGTTGTTATCAAAGGCGTTCAGAACTTGTAAGGAGAGAGTCCTTTATTGAGGAGGATCCTTGGGGCGAACGATCTGCTGAGCAAATGATGAGGTTGGCATTGTCGGATCCGGTACGACTGTCGGAAGAGCCACTTACGATTGAAGGAGGACATGAGCAAGGCGACGAAATCCTCAGGATCTCCGGGGGGAATGGTATTTCTCATTAATTCGTTAATACAGGAAGATCGCGACAAGTTAATGTTGGAAGAAGGGGAAGGCAGTGAGATCAAAGAAGCCTTTCGCGAGGAAGAATATAATGAGACTTATAAGAAGATTGGGCTTTGGTTGAATGGGGACTTGAACGAGGCAGAGATAGAGCCAGAAATAAGAGAAAAGACAAAGGGTTTTGTCGTTCGACAGGGGCATCTCTTCAAAAAGTCTGACGATGGTACGCCTAAGAGAGTGGTGTGTGGGGTTCCCAGACAGTTGGATGTGATTCCGACCCTACATGATGGAGTGGCAGGTGGACATCGATCTGCTCGAGTGACATTAAGAAAGATTCAACATCTCTATTTTTGGGATAGTATCGGTAGGATTATGGTGGAATTCTGCAACTCGTGCATCCCTTGTCAGAAACGTTCGAACCTCCGTTATGTCGAGCCTCTCAATCCGCGGTATGTGGTTGAGCCAGGTGCGGTTGTGCACCTCGATTTGGTCGTTATGCCACCCGGGCTTAATGGGTACAAATACATTTTTGATGCGAAAGACAATCTTACCGGATTCATTGATGGGCGTGCAATCCGTGAACGAACTAGGAAAATTTTGGCAGAATGTATCGAAGAGTTTTACCTTCCGTACCCATTTGTTCGGGAATTTGTGATGGATCGAGGCGGAAAATTTCGGGCAGCAGAGGTTCAGGCTCTTATGAAAAGACTGGGAGTGAACTGTAGTTACACCACTAGAGCACATCCCCAGGCTAATGCTCCGGTCGAACGTGGGTACGCCACCTTGACTAATTTGCTAGCCAAATGGTGTGTTGGCAAGCCGTCAACATGGCCCGTCTATCTCAGAGCTGCCATATTTGTTGAAAATATAACTGTGAAACGAACTACTGGGTATGCTCCGATTACGTTATGGTTTGGACGACATGCTACGTTTCCAATCGAGAGTTTCCTGACCACATGGCAAAAACAGGAAGGTCATGCTTTCTACAGAAGAGTTGCTGGACCTGAGGGCCAGACAAATAAAGACGACTGAGAAAAAAGTTGTAGAGGCTGCTGCTTCAACTGCGGACAGCAGACGGGCGGGCAAAGTTAGATGGGATAAGCAACCCCAGGTTAGAAAGGAGTCGTTGGAAGTTGGGGATATTGTCCTCCTCTATGACTCTTCTCTTGAAAAGTAGTGTTCGAGGAAATTAGATAATCGATGGATGGGGCCATATCGTATCATTAAGAAAACAGAGCATGGGGCATACGAGATTGAGGAGATGGATGGAGCACGCGGGCGAGATTGGGTTTCAGGCTCACGCTTGAATAAGTTTGTTCATAGGGACTAAATAATGCCTTACTTTTCTTAACAGACGTTGATATCCCTGGCTAACTTCATTTTATGACTAAGTATTTGTAAGATATATTTTCCATGTAGTGGACAGACACATATGGACTTTTAATGAATTACTTGTTGACGTCATTCCTGTCATTATTATTCGTTATTGAACAAGATAATTGATGTGCATAATGATTTTTTTCAAGCCTTGTAAAAATGATTCCCCGAGCATGCATCTCTTTTATTTCTTATGTTGAATGTGTTTTGCTTGTGAAGGATGGGTGTGAATCATTTGTGCAAAGTTATGATTTAACGCGTAAAATGTGTTAAAATTTTGGAACATATGACTTTCCGAACGATAAGTATTCGTTCTGTAGGCACATAGTTTAATAAATATAATAAGTTTATATGTAATACCTAGTCTTTATTGTGTCTTGATATTCCTGAAAGATGTGAGCCTTGTAGGTGGTAGTGAGGCTCGTGCCGGAACTTGGTTCCTGGTCCACAACGAGATGATGTCATTTTCCTTGAAAAAGGGCGATGGCTACACTATCTCCGAAAAGGAGGATGGTGTCGTAATCCTGCTGAGACCTTGCCTATGGTGGGGAGTGATCGCTGCTTATCACATGAGTGGGGTTGGTCGTCTATCCTTGTGTTATGCAGGGTCGCCTCGTCCTTATGATCCTCGATGACCAACTTGGACTATATGGATGGGGTTGTCTCGCCCTGTAGACGTGGCATTAACAGGGTTGTGATACTGGAATCGGAGGGAATGTGGTGAGGCTCGAATCTAAAGCGGGGCTTGATGTCGAGATGATATCCTTTGTGGAGGATTACACCACTCCTCGACGCAGTTACATAGAATTCGGGGGTACTAAGGCATAAAAATCCTAGGTATTTGTAAAATTGCACAATCGGATGGGTTATGAAACTCGGGTAAAGGACTTAAATAATGGGTTCTTGTATTGGATGGCTAGTTCAGATCATGTCTGAACGATTATCATAGGTTGGATTATGGAGACCTGTCAGGGGTTATTCCTGGCTCATTCTGAAGATTAGCTGAGGGTTAATACGGATCTTCCAGAAAGGATGGTGGAAAACCGGAGCCTTGTTATTATTATCCCCGGCAATGGCGCCACCTTTGCCGTCATCCCCGGCAACGGCGCCATAGGCCGAGAAATGGCCGAATTTTCTTCTTTGGAAAAAAAAAAAAAAAAAAAAAACCTTACCTGTCCCGTAGCTGGACGCATAAGCAACTAGGTACGGGCGCGATGGAGGGAACAGCAACGTCGAGGTAAGGAACTTTTCTCCTTCTTTTTTTGGTTTTTCTTTTCTCTTTTTTTTTTGCTTTTGCTGGTTGGGGCCATACGGACGAAACAACGCGACCGTTGGCCTGAGCCAACGGTTGAAAAAAAAAAAAAACTAAAGCGCCAGATGACGCCGCGAGGAGTGAAGGGGACTTAGTGTCCCCACGAACATACAGGCGCCCGAAGAAATGGGTGACCGTTTTTTTTGGAGAGTTTTTCTTTTTTCTTTTTTTCTTTCGTTTCCTTATTAGATTTATTTATATTTTTCTGTTAGATTTTTTCTTAGATTTTAGTTAGATTTTTTTTTTTCTTTTCTTTTTCTTCTGCTTTGGATGAGCACACCCGTTCATTTCAAACGAACGGGAGGTGACTGTGCCCAACTGTTTCGTTGGACTTCCACCAACTCATCAGGAGGCTGAGCCTCGACAGTGGGCCAGCCAAATGAACCAGCCGCAGAAATGCGGCTGTATGCAGGTATGTCGCGGGGGGGGTTCGTCTGAGAGAGAGAGAGAGAGAGGCCAGCACTGCGCCCGTTGGGTTTCTAAGAAACGGGCTGCAGTGTTCGCCTGCGCGCCCGAACCTAGCGCCGAAGACGTTCGGGTACGGGCGCAGGGCTAAGGGGAGGAAAGAAGACCCTGTTGAGCTTGACTTTAGTCCGACTCTGTTAAATGACTTAGGGAGGGGAGCCTGCTCGTTCGTTTCCAAACGACGAGCTGCCTCTGCGGTAGAAAAACGAAAAAAAAAAAAAAAAAAAAAAAAAAAAAAAAAAAAAAAAAAAAAAAAAAAAAAAAAAANAAAAAAAAAAAACGAAAAGGAAAAAAAAAAAGGGAAGAAGTTAGAGAAAAAAAGGGGGGGGAAACGGTCGCGGATCTAGCCGCGGCCTCGGTCCAGATGCAGGTTTAGAAGCATCTGGACTATGGATAGATAGCAGACTGTTGGTTTCAACAATCTGCTGGAAAAAGGCTTGGTACAGCCGTTTCGGGGCTGCGTCTGGCCGCGGGTGAAGGCCAGATGCACTGCCAAGGTTTAGGACTTGGTTCCCCTACGGGAATATCAAGTTTCCTGGCCCTTGATCGCGATTTTGATCCAGGGCCAGACTCTGTTCCGAGATTTGGCTGGGGGCAAAGTAGCTGGCCTCAGCCTTCAGCCAACTATAAAAAGCTAGCCTCCCACCCAGCAGCCAAACACCTGTGGCAATGCTGCTGGGGCATTCTACTTGAGTAGATGCTGGCTGGCTGGCTGCTGGTGTGATGAGGCAAAGTGTTGGAGGTCTGCAAAAGTACTTGGAGGAAGGAGGAGGCAACCATAGCTAAAGGCTGGGGGCTTCTTGCCCCACCTTCTGTGCTGTGTTGCACGCTGTGAGGAAGTCGTGGCCTTAAGGTTGCTGCTGATTTTCTAGGGAGGTGCGGCGGAAGCGCTGCCGAATTTTTGCGGCAGCAGCACCTGTTTTCTTGACGGAACAGCGAAAGCGCTGCCGAAATTGTGCGGCGGCAGCGCTGATATTCTTGGTGGAACAGCGGAAGCGCTGCCGAATTTTTGCGGCAGCAGCACCTGTTTCGCTGTCAAAATTGTGCGGCGGCAGCGCTGGTATTATTGGTGGAATAGCGGAAGCACTGCCGAAATTGTGCGACGGCAGCACTGGTATTCTTGGCGGTACTGCGGAAGCGTTGCCGAATTCTTGCAGCGGCAACACCGATTTTCTTAGCGGTACGACGCGGGTGCTACTGGATTGTGTGGCAACGGTATTTTGCACAGGACTGCGAGAAGGGGGGCTGGACGTTGCCGCAGGGACGATACCGCCAAGGTGGAAGTGCACTTTGTAATAGAAAGGGTGTGGCGTCGTCTTGTTGAGGACATTGCGGGACGCGGTACCTGTAAGGACTGTTAAGACCGCTGTTATTTTTTTTGTGGCACACTGAGTAAGCGGGGATTGGGTCCGAGACCACCAAGTATTGCGGTATGCAGGTGGTGGCCTGGCTTGGTATTTGGTGGGTTGAATCGGTATTGTCTTTGGTGGAAGGTGTGACATTGAGATTGTGGGATTTGAGAGTGTGATGCCCTTCTCAACGGCGGGCTCGCTTCTGTGTTGGTGAGCGGCGCCTGAGTCAGAGGTGGCGGTTGAAGGAGGGTGTGACCCATCCTTGTGAGTGGCCACAACGAGAGTTTTGCGGCCAAACTTTTTTCAGCAAATACTTGACTTTCTTGAGTGAGCCTTCAAGAAATTCACTCAAGGTCAGTGCGACTCAGCTCCTTTGCACACCCGCGTGAACCCACACCTTGCATGACCTTGCCTTGAATTCAGGGGAAAGGGTAGAGTGAGAGTTTGATGTCATGCGTGTGGAGAAAGGGCTGACTTGTTTGAGGGATGGATGAATCTCTTGATTGTTTCTTTTCTTGATTATGCAGGTAGGTTGGGGGATGCATGTGAGAAGGAATCAACATTGTTTGCTCGAGATAATAATGGGGATGCTTACCTCTCTCCCACTCAACCTGAATGCTTGTGACAGAAAAGAGGAGGAACAAAAATAATAACGGGAGTGCGAACGGACGGGTGCCGGAAGAATGAAGGCCATGGGAAAATTAAAAGGAAAGAAGACAAGGAAACACCTTAGCATCTTCCCAAGGATTTCCCCATTCTATCCCGAACGACCACTACCCTTTTATGTCGTCCAAAATATCTTACCTTTTTCTCTTCTCAATTCATCTAAGTCGCCCCTTAGCCGGGAAGGTATAGAGCGGTCGTCTGTACCTAGGGTCTAGGCTTCTTCTCTCTAGGAGGCATCCGAGGCGGGGGTTCGTTGCCTTAGGGGCCGGCCCTGTTATTGACTCGGAGCGGACCGCTTATGCGGGGGGATACCATGCTGTTGCGGTGGAGCCAGCCCAACTTCTGAGTCCTGAACAATGTGTTCGGGCGAGGGGGAGGGGTATTCCAGACCACTTCCTAGAGGGTAGGGGGTCTTGAAGCTAGGAGCAGTCGCCTCCTTGTGCTTTCAGGGAAAAGGGAGACTGAATCTAGTACCCTGTTGGGTGGCCATATTAGGTTCCACCAACGCGTGGGAGGGCTGGCGCCACAAGAAGCCCAGCCCGTGCTTCAACTAGTGTTAAAAGAAGTGTAAGTAGGCACTACCTTCGCGGTCGGACCGTGACATAAGAATCACGGCCGAAAAGGGAAGTGGAAATTGAACATGGAAATTCGTATACCTAAAATTATTTTGACAAAGTTATCGCTTCGTCGTTCAGATGCTTGCGGAGATAGTGATCCTCCGATTGTTCAGCACACGCGAAGCGGCGGCTAATCGGTTAGCGGTGCCAACACGATCCCGCGCCGGCATGATACGGAAAGGAGGGCTGGTGTGCAACCTACTTGAAGTTTATTCGGAGCGAGATGCGCCACGATTCTGGGACGGGAGCGTGAGGAAACCACCGCGGAGTTATATTTTCTTGGTTGAACCAGGTCAGCGTATTACATGACTTTGCGCCTCCTACTCCATCACGGGATTACGGAGACATGAATCTAGTGGTGGTTCACGAGGACTGTCCGGGAGTAGAGACAATTCCTGAGGTTAGGGGGATGTTCCTCCATATTGTACTCCATTTGAACGATCTGCAAGGACCATTCAGCCGTCTTCATCATGTGAAACGGGTCCGGGCGAATAGATTTAATACCGTTCGCTCGGAACGTTTTGATGTCACCGCATTTTATGACGAGGCTTGTGAAATCTACGAGCGCCTCTTCTAACAGGCGGCTCTTTCGGTGTGCAGATGTCCGACGGACGGCGAGATCTTACTCAGGCCAGGTATCTACTGATTCGCGACACTATGAACGAGGAGGTGATCCGGCGCGCGGAGCGATTACTACTGGTTCGAAATGAAGCACCCACACGTTGGATTGGCTTTATCGGCCTGCTCAGTGATCATGAGGGCCGACAGGTTTATCCTGGCTAAGCGCACCCTCTCAAATCTGGTGTCATGGTGAGTTGTCCTTATAGTAGGGTCACGCCTATGTGACTCTACAGGGGTAATAATAACAAAAAACAACAACAACGACCTTGTGTAGGTAGGCCAACCAGATGGATAGTATCTGGATTGCCTCGATGATAGCACTATCATGCTGATGCATTGAGGGGTAATCAACCACTTAAAAATACGCTGAACAAAGCGAAGGCCGAACACTTGAAGAGGTGTCGAGCGGAACAATGAGGACGGGATAACAGAAGACGAAACAGTCCCACGCCAAGTAACCTGGTGTTGGCAATGGCTACTTCATCATTCGTGGAACAGAGAGAGTAATTATTGCCTAGGAGGACAAAGCGACAAACAAAATTGTCATCCGCTCCTCCAAGTAGATGCGTGCGGTACGACGGTGCGGTCGGACCGGGAGTTTAAACATCGRCCAAGAAGCAGATCACTTGTTGATCTGCATGTATTTACTTGTAGAGGTTSTGCGCGACGGATCTTCCRTCCTCGGATGACGGTATAATTGTCTCTTCAGTCAGGTAGGCAGGAAATGATAACCTTGGCATATCATCTCATCAAGTCGAAATGTTGGTTGTGTATTGGTTTCGTTCATTTTATGAGTAGGGGATTATAAAGGGACTAGGATTACATGTTGGGGTTCACGTTTGGTTGAAGCTATCCTTGTTGACCGACGCTCGTTCGTACTGAGGAGATCAGCGCCCTCGGAAACGGACAACGTTCGGGTCCACTTGGTGTTAACCAAGCGCACCTATACTTCAGCGAACGAGCAAACGCCCTCGGCTGACCTACCTCTGCAATTGCATGTAAAAGTTTTCGCACATGGGTCAGTAGCTCGGTAGGTATACACCCCTGAGGGTGGTGACAGCCCCTCAGGGAAAGTAAGTTGTGCCCCGCGAAAACCTATCCTGTCGTAGGGGACCGCGGGGGTCATAGCTGACGCACTCGGCTAGAGCGGCGAAGGGACGATGCAACCGCATCCGTCTCGACGGTTCGCGGAATCACTTATGCATCGTCCTAAGTTGTCTCTTGATTTTGTTTTGTTCTAACTCCTGCGTGACATAGCCGGGAGGGCCCTCGTTCACGCGAGGGCCGATGCGCTCGACAGGTGGCGCCGTTGCCGGGGATGACGGCAAACTACCGTTGTCCCTGGTGGAACAACACTCGGGAAAAGATTAGTAGTGGTGACTTTAAGAATTGCGTATTATTTGTTTGGATTGAAAGTAGTCGGTGGTTATTAATGTCTGGGAAAAGAAAGAAGGCAAGGTTTAGAGTGAATTGTTGGAATCTATTTGACACTTGGACATGTGGGTTTGTCGTGTTGATTCTCTCAAGATGACGGGAGGAAATGCTGATCCCGCAAATAGTAATGCGGGGGATCGTCGCAACGATATTCTGGAACTCGCATGAGCCATTCGTGAGGCTGATAATCAGAAGGCACAGTTGCCGAAGGTTCAAGTTCCCCTCTTCGATGGCACCAATGCCTCAGCATGGGCGGACAAGTTTGAACAATTGGGCAGTTGCTGCGAATGGTCTAGTGAGAAGTTGCTTCAAATGGTGAAGCGATATTGTATGGTCGAGTACAAAGAGGAGGTGTCAGAGTTGGTGCAAGCTTCATGCGACTGGCCGGACTTCAAGGTCAAATTATTGGACAAGTACCAATTGGGGGATCAACTGCTCGATCTGGCGGACTTACGGAAGGTTAGTCGTCGGAAGTTTGGTACGGCTAAGCAATTTCTTACGGAGTTTGAGCGGGTTGCGCGCTTAGTGTCTGACCTTCCAGATAAGGATCGGTGCCTCATCTTCCTCGAAAATTTTTCAGAAGTTGAGCAGCGAGAACTGATGAAGGATATGACTGGGCGATACGACTGGCCAAGGATAAAGGAAAATCTGTTGGCCGGAAGTTTCGACCAAATGCTTTACCGTCTCCTGAAGCAGCAAAAGGAGGACCGTGAGAAGGAAGGGGTAAGCGCGGACAAGGATCAAGCCGTTTACAAGACCCTAACCGACATGCGGAACATGATGGCGGACATGAAGGAGGAAAGGCTAAAGCTACAGGTGATGATGGTCCAGACAAAAGGTGGAAAAAGGAAGGGCAAAGCACCCGTTGTGGAGGAAGTGAGTGGTAGCAGCAGTGAAGAGGAAGATGAGGAGGAAGAGGAGCCTTCTCGAAAATTGACCAAAGCAGAAGGGAAGGCTCTGAACCAGATACGAGGAGGGCAGGGCACTAGTAAGAAGCAGCGGAAGAATAATGGAGGAGGTGGACAAGGAAGTAATCAGGAACAGGCGGCTCCAACCCCTCCTCAGCAACCCCAACCTCGGGCAGGAGGCCGAGGTCGAGGCCGAGGTCGAGGTAAAGGACAAGGCACTGGGGGAGGCCGAGGAAATGGGGGCGGCCGAGACAATTGGCAGAATTGGTTTTGTAAGTATTGTGGCCAAGATGGACATGGGATACGGTTTTGTCAGACCGTTACCAAAGATGAAAACGATAAGGTTATATATACGAATATCTGAGGCGAGGTCTACGACTTCGAAGGGAATCTCATCGATCCCAATGTGGAGGGAGGAATGAGAAAGGAAGCTTTTCGACGTATGGGGCGAGATCTTCCAGCAACTTTTCGACTGCCTTCTCCGGAAGAGGTTGAACAGATTGAGTTGGAAGCGACGATGGAGTCATTGACAATTGAGGCTGCCAAGGCCGGAAATGGAGGTTTGAGCAAAGGGCAGGAAAATATACTGCAACGAGCTCAGACAGTGATCGGAAAAATGAAACGATGCAGGAAAACTTTTGTTCAAGTATGTGCGGATATGGATGAAGAGTGGCCCCGGCTTCCCCAAGTTTTTCTGTTAGGAGGATGGGACAGAGACGGCCAAAGAGGTCTTACTGATGTTACCGCATCACAACCTGGATTGTCGTCGGCGGGGCGTTTGATGGCCACCACGATCTTGTCCCGCCCTGCGCTCAAGCGACCTGCCACTGCTGGCCTCCCACAGGCTCGGAGGGCTCGAAGGTCGCCGCGGCCAAGGGCAACGCCAGAAGGAGGGCCAAGCCAGCCTCGGGAAACCGAGACGATTTCGATTGAAGAAGACGATGGCGAGGAGGATGAATTGCTGCGAGCCGAAGATGAGAGGCAGGCCAAACAACGAGCCGTGGAGAGGGAGCCAGAAACGGGCAGGGCTGATGTTGGGGAAGGAGAGCTGAAAAAGAAAAAGCAAGTCTACACAATTCCAGTAGAGCAAGGGATGGGTATTGAGCAAATCGTGGATCGGATTTTGGAAAGCCAGCGTGATTTGTTCACGCTCAAGGAGTTCTTGGCCGCGTCACCCAAAATCTGAGAGGAGTTCAGACATCGACTGTCAAGGAAAAAGGTGATGACGGTTAAGATGAGTGATATCTTTCCTCAAGAGATTAGTTGGGCTCCTCCTGGGACAAAAATGGACTGGCACTGTGTAACAACTGGGTTGTTGAAAGTGCAAGTTGGGCCATGTGAATATTGAGCTCTCATCGATGATGGAGTTGAAATGAACATTATACGAGAAAGAGAATCCATGGGGGCAGGAGTTAATATCAATCGAGCAGATACTGGATTTTTTGTGGGTGCAAGTGGGATAACTCCCTTTTGCGGAACGACGAGTGACGTGACGATACAAGTTGGTAAAGACAAAGTTCGTTCGTACTTCTATGTGCTACCCAGGGTTGAGCATGCCGTGTTGTTGGGCAGAGCTTTCCTATGTCAATCAGAATCCATCATCTTTAACAAGCATGATGATACTATGATTGTGGTTTTGTGTGACCCCGTATGTGGCTATTACGAGGTGTTGAAGTGTGAGAACACAGGACCAACCAATTCAAGGAACCGGCTTAATCCGGGGTCCTATTCCTTCACGGAGTCTGAAAGACTCAGAAGGGAGAAAGAGTCTCTTGGAGAAGAGAGCGATCCCCATGAATTTTCTCTTGCTCTGCCCAACATCTCTCAAGCAATCGAGTTCGTTGCGACAGACTCGTCTGTGGATCCCAAGTTGGTCCAAACATTGACAGAGATTGTGGCAGGAGAAGGCGGGACTGGTAGGATGTATCTTACCTATCGGCCCAACAGGTCTTCTGAGGGTGATGCATTGGCAGAGCCAGAAGCCAAGCAAGGGCCTTTTTTAGAGGTGGACGACTTGGAGTTGGAGCGAAACATAAGTACAAGAGAGAAGGCGAGAAAGCTCGGCCAGTGCCCGTCTTGATCACACAAGAGGAAAAAGTGTACTATAAAGAAGAGAGAGAATGGATCAGGATGAGGAAAGAAAAGAGTGTGAAGGCACCGTGTCGGCTGACGGAGGAGAGGATTAAAGATATGATCATTGGAGAGGAAGGGTCTCTTTCTGAAAAGGAGGTGGACTTCCTTGTYAGCGTCATGAAGAGAACCCATTTRGCTTACGCCTTCGATGATGACGAGCGAGGGAGGCTTGACGTTGACATGATCCCAATGATMARAATTCATACGGTACCTCACGARCCGTGRAACATACRAGGTYCRCGTTATCCAAATCCGGATGATCATCGTAGAGTCGTTGAATATTTGGATGGTAAAATTCGGACAAGGGTCGCGGATTACTCATATGGACCATATGCGTCCCCTTAGTTTTGTTTCATTAAACCAAGTGGTGTATTGCGATGGGTGCAGAACTTGCAGAGGCTGAACTCAGTGACGGTTCGTGATGCCGGAGGACTTCCGCATGCTGATCAGCTGTCAGAGTCGTGCGCAGGCAGGCCTATCATAACTCTCATTGATTTGTATTCAGGATATGATTAATTCCCCCTCTATACAGCTGATAGGCCGATGACGGTCATGCATACGCCGAGGGGATTAATTCATATGTGTACGGCGCCTCAGGGATGGACGAACGCCGTAGCAATTGTTCAGAGATATATGATGAGAGTCATGCAACCACTTTGTCCGGACGTGACCTCACCTTATATAGATGACGTGGCCATACCTGGGCCGCGCGTGAAGGATGAGACGGAGGTGCTGCCAGGCGTTCGAAAGTTTGTTTGGGAGCACGTTCGTAACGTGGAGAAGGTCCTGTCCAAGTTAAAGGAGTACAACCTCACCGCCAGCGGTGTCAAATCTCGACATTGTATGCGTGAGGTAACTATCTTGGGCTTCTTGTGCGATGAGAAGGGTCGTCGGCCAGATTCCAAGAAGACAAACAAGATTCTGGAATGGCCGACTCCGCTTAAGTCCATCACTGATGTGCGCAGTTTTTGGGGGACTTGCGGATTCTGGCGCATCTTCATTCGCAAGTTTGCAGCAAGGGTGAAGCACCTACGAAAGTTGGTGCGTAAAAATCAAGAATGGGAATGGGGTCCAAGACAACAGGCGGCGGTGGACGATATCAAGGCTCAGTTCCGAGAAGGAGGATTGATCCTGGGGGTCCCGTGCTTTGACAATGACCCGAATCGGCCCTTTGTGGTTGAAACGGATGCAGGCCCCACAGCACTGGGTGGTGTCCTCATCCAAAAGGATGGAGAAGGGCGAGAAAGGCTATTGAGATTTGAAAGTCGAATGTTGAATGAGGCGGAACGGAAATATTCCCAATTTAAAAAGGAAACCCTTGCAGTGCTTCATTGTTTCAAGATCTTCCGAAACTATGTGTTTGGGAGACGGTTCGTCCTGCGGGTGGATCCAACTGCCCTGGCGCAGTCACTAAGGAATTACTCTCCCTCGGATCCAACTATTGCTCGATGGTTGATCTATATCTGGATGTTCGATTTCGAGATCAAGCGCATTGCAGGAGCGAAAAATCGAGCAGATGGATTGAGTCGGATCGAGTGGGACTCCTCGAAAGATCAGGCAGAAGACTCGGTTCCTGTGGATGGGTTCTTGGAGGCGGACGAGCAACAATTAAGTATCAATGTTTGGGAGTACATCACTAATTCCTCGTCCCGACCTGGGAAGTCTATCTGGAGTTCGCCGAGTTGTTATCAAAGGCGTTCAGAACTTGTAAGGAGAGAGTCCTTTATTGAGGAGGATCCTTGGGGCGAACGATCTGCTGAGCAAATGATGAGGTTGGCATTGTCGGATCCGGTACGACTGTCGGAAGAGCCACTTACGATTGAAGGAGGACATGAGCAAGGCGACGAAATCCTCAGGATCTCCGGGGGGAATGGTATTTCTCATTAATTCGTTAATACAGGAAGATCGCGACAAGTTAATGTTGGAAGAAGGGGAAGGCAGTGAGATCAAAGAAGCCTTTCGCGAGGAAGAATATAATGAGACTTATAAGAAGATTGGGCTTTGGTTGAATGGGGACTTGAACGAGGCAGAGATAGAGCCAGAAATAAGAGAAAAGACAAAGGGTTTTGTCGTTCGACAGGGGCATCTCTTCAAAAAGTCTGACGATGGTACGCCTAAGAGAGTGGTGTGTGGGGTTCCCAGACAGTTGGATGTGATTCCGACCCTACATGATGGAGTGGCAGGTGGACATCGATCTGCTCGAGTGACATTAAGAAAGATTCAACATCTCTATTTTTGGGATAGTATCGGTAGGATTATGGTGGAATTCTGCAACTCGTGCATCCCTTGTCAGAAACGTTCGAACCTCCGTTATGTCGAGCCTCTCAATCCGCGGTATGTGGTTGAGCCAGGTGCGGTTGTGCACCTCGATTTGGTCGTTATGCCACCCGGGCTTAATGGGTACAAATACATTTTTGATGCGAAAGACAATCTTACCGGATTCATTGATGGGCGTGCAATCCGTGAACGAACTAGGAAAATTTTGGCAGAATGTATCGAAGAGTTTTACCTTCCGTACCCATTTGTTCGGGAATTTGTGATGGATCGAGGCGGAAAATTTCGGGCAGCAGAGGTTCAGGCTCTTATGAAAAGACTGGGAGTGAACTGTAGTTACACCACTAGAGCACATCCCCAGGCTAATGCTCCGGTCGAACGTGGGTACGCCACCTTGACTAATTTGCTAGCCAAATGGTGTGTTGGCAAGCCGTCAACATGGCCCGTCTATCTCAGAGCTGCCATATTTGTTGAAAATATAACTGTGAAACGAACTACTGGGTATGCTCCGATTACGTTATGGTTTGGACGACATGCTACGTTTCCAATCGAGAGTTTCCTGACCACATGGCAAAAACAGGAAGGTCATGCTTTCTACAGAAGAGTTGCTGGACCTGAGGGCCAGACAAATAAAGACGACTGAGAAAAAAGTTGTAGAGGCTGCTGCTTCAACTGCGGACAGCAGACGGGCGGGCAAAGTTAGATGGGATAAGCAACCCCAGGTTAGAAAGGAGTCGTTGGAAGTTGGGGATATTGTCCTCCTCTATGACTCTTCTCTTGAAAAGTAGTGTTCGAGGAAATTAGATAATCGATGGATGGGGCCATATCGTATCATTAAGAAAACAGAGCATGGGGCATACGAGATTGAGGAGATGGATGGAGCACGCGGGCGAGATTGGGTTTCAGGCTCACGCTTGAATAAGTTTGTTCATAGGGACTAAATAATGCCTTACTTTTCTTAACAGACGTTGATATCCCTGGCTAACTTCATTTTATGACTAAGTATTTGTAAGATATATTTTCCATGTAGTGGACAGACACATATGGACTTTTAATGAATTACTTGTTGACGTCATTCCTGTCATTATTATTCGTTATTGAACAAGATAATTGATGTGCATAATGATTTTTTTCAAGCCTTGTAAAAATGATTCCCCGAGCATGCATCTCTTTTATTTCTTATGTTGAATGTGTTTTGCTTGTGAAGGATGGGTGTGAATCATTTGTGCAAAGTTATGATTTAACGCGTAAAATGTGTTAAAATTTTGGAACATATGACTTTCCGAACGATAAGTATTCGTTCTGTAGGCACATAGTTTAATAAATATAATAAGTTTATATGTAATACCTAGTCTTTATTGTGTCTTGATATTCCTGAAAGATGTGAGCCTTGTAGGTGGTAGTGAGGCTCGTGCCGGAACTTGGTTCCTGGTCCACAACGAGATGATGTCATTTTCCTTGAAAAAGGGCGATGGCTACACTATCTCCGAAAAGGAGGATGGTGTCGTAATCCTGCTGAGACCTTGCCTATGGTGGGGAGTGATCGCTGCTTATCACATGAGTGGGGTTGGTCGTCTATCCTTGTGTTATGCAGGGTCGCCTCGTCCTTATGATCCTCGATGACCAACTTGGACTATATGGATGGGGTTGTCTCGCCCTGTAGACGTGGCATTAACAGGGTTGTGATACTGGAATCGGAGGGAATGTGGTGAGGCTCGAATCTAAAGCGGGGCTTGATGTCGAGATGATATCCTTTGTGGAGGATTACACCACTCCTCGACGCAGTTACATAGAATTCGGGGGTACTAAGGCATAAAAATCCTAGGTATTTGTAAAATTGCACAATCGGATGGGTTATGAAACTCGGGTAAAGGACTTAAATAATGGGTTCTTGTATTGGATGGCTAGTTCAGATCATGTCTGAACGATTATCATAGGTTGGATTATGGAGACCTGTCAGGGGTTATTCCTGGCTCATTCTGAAGATTAGCTGAGGGTTAATACGGATCTTCCAGAAAGGATGGTGGAAAACCGGAGCCTTGTTATTATTATCCCCGGCAATGGCGCCACCTTTGCCGTCATCCCCGGCAACGGCGCCATAGGCCGAGAAATGGCCGAATTTTCTTCTTTGGAAAAAAAAAAAAAAAAAAAAAACCTTACCTGTCCCGTAGCTGGACGCATAAGCAACTAGGTACGGGCGCGATGGAGGGAACAGCAACGTCGAGGTAAGGAACTTTTCTCCTTCTTTTTTTGGTTTTTCTTTTCTCTTTTTTTTTTGCTTTTGCTGGTTGGGGCCATACGGACGAAACAACGCGACCGTTGGCCTGAGCCAACGGTTGAAAAAAAAAAAAAACTAAAGCGCCAGATGACGCCGCGAGGAGTGAAGGGGACTTAGTGTCCCCACGAACATACAGGCGCCCGAAGAAATGGGTGACCGTTTTTTTTGGAGAGTTTTTCTTTTTTCTTTTTTTCTTTCGTTTCCTTATTAGATTTATTTATATTTTTCTGTTAGATTTTTTCTTAGATTTTAGTTAGATTTTTTTTTTTCTTTTCTTTTTCTTCTGCTTTGGATGAGCACACCCGTTCATTTCAAACGAACGGGAGGTGACTGTGCCCAACTGTTTCGTTGGACTTCCACCAACTCATCAGGAGGCTGAGCCTCGACAGTGGGCCAGCCAAATGAACCAGCCGCAGAAATGCGGCTGTATGCAGGTATGTCGCGGGGGGGGTTCGTCTGAGAGAGAGAGAGAGAGAGGCCAGCACTGCGCCCGTTGGGTTTCTAAGAAACGGGCTGCAGTGTTCGCCTGCGCGCCCGAACCTAGCGCCGAAGACGTTCGGGTACGGGCGCAGGGCTAAGGGGAGGAAAGAAGACCCTGTTGAGCTTGACTTTAGTCCGACTCTGTTAAATGACTTAGGGAGGGGAGCCTGCTCGTTCGTTTCCAAACGACGAGCTGCCTCTGCGGTAGAAAAACGAAAAAAAAAAAAAAAAAAAAAAAAAAAAAAAAAAAAAAAAAAAAAAAAAAAAAAAAAAA